ATTTACAAGATGAACTTCTTTCCGTAAAATATTAAACTGTTTACATGCAGGCTAGGAAGACAATTTTCAAACTGTTCATGTTCTGCTACAGAGCAATGACTATTAACAATGCAACAGCTTCTGGTCGACTTACAGTGTGGACTAGGCAGTAATCAGAAAATGTTTGACCTGAAGATATCTACTTGACCCCACAGAAATGCAGACTCGCCTGCTATAAAATCCTAAACAATGGGGCAGACAAGGTCACAGGGTCAAAGTGAGTATTAACAGGTCACCATGCGGCCCACTTGGGAGCAATTACTTCCAGTCATGGCTAAGTGGACACTTGATTGAATACCACTAAGACAGCTCACATCCCACGGATAACAATCCTCACAGCGATTAGGAATTAAAGCCCCCATGATTCAGCCTTTATTACTCAAATGAACCAAACTCCTCCATAAAAAACTCTTGGTATATGCCTGATGCAGGGTCCAAATTGAAATGCCACCTCATTAAACAATAATATCTAATTTTATCTAAATGAATTTTCATGAAAGTGCGCCACACAGCTCAGGAATTTTTAAAATGAATTATCACAAGTGATACATAATTTCGCCAAAACTGGGGTAGATAAAAAAAAATTAGCTTCAGGAATAAAAGGAAACACAGTGTTGAATGAAACGCCTCTTCCTGCGCGTCTAAAGAGAGCAAACGGAGATTATGGGCTGCTATAAACTATGTGAATCTATTTTTAAGAAATTCCCTAATTTCCACTAATTTCAGATGAAAAAAAGGCAGTGGTTTTACTAGCTGGGTAATCACTGAGGGAACTTTAAAAAACATACATAGATTTCAAGTCCTTTTTTCAGAATTACCTGGATCTGTGGCCCTAGGAAGTCAAATTGTTTTAAAACTCCCAAGTGATTCTTACAGACCACCACCTTTGAGAGCTCTGGTCCACGCTGAGAATGAAGGTCTCCACAAGGTTGTGAAACCGCAGGGAGAATGAGAAAGACCTCACCATCTTCCTTCTTCTTCAGCCTTCCCTTATTTCATAATCTTGCTGAGGCCCTTATATTTACTTATTGTTATCATCACTTTCTTATGGCAAGTGATTCATTTTCTAATTACAATAATTCATGGAAAGTTTCTTTTTGGTGTATGATTCACATTTTTTAAAAATCAGGTAATATAAAAAATTATTCATTTAAAAATAAGAGTACTGGCCTGGCTTAGTGGCTCATACCTATAATCCTAGCACTTTGGGAGGCTGAGGCGGGTGGATCACTTGAGGTCAGGAGTTTGAGACAAGCCTGGTCAACATGGTGAAACCCTGTCTCTACTAAAAATACAGAAAAACAAAATGAGCCGGGCATGGTGGTGGGGGCCTGTAATCCCAACTACTTGGGAGGCTGAGGCAGGAGAATTGTTTGAATCCTGGAGACAGAGTTTACAGTGAGTTGAGATCACACCACTGCACACCAGAATGGGTGACAGAGGGAGACTCTGTCTCTAAATAAATAAACACATATGGCTGGGCGTGGCAGCTCACACCTGTAATCCCAGCACTTTGGGAGGTGGAGAAAGGCAGATCACTTGAGCTCAGGAGTTTGAGACCAGCCTGACCAACATGGAGAAACCCTGTCTCTGCTAAAACTACAAAATTGGCTGGGTGAGGTGGGTCATGCCTGCAGCTACTCGGGAGGCTGAGACAGGAGAATCACCTGAACCTGGGAGGCAGAGGTTGCGGTGAGCTGAGACCGTGCGCTCCAGCCTGAGCAACAAGAGCGAGACTCCGTCTCCAACATAATAAATAAATAAACACATACAAAAATAAATAAGAGTACTCATGGTACTATGATGTTGGTGAACACAATGACCAAAATTATGGCTACACTGATATATGATGAGCTAAAACTCCCAAGGCCAGCCCCTTCCTTCTGCCTCACCTGTAGATCCCAGGAATATGTACAAGCAGGAAGAATGCAAAGTTCAGGCCTAAATCTGTCCCTCTGTGGACAAAGTGGACATTCTCTGTCAGGGATATCTTTTAAAAATACCTTAACAAACACAAAAAATCCCTGCTGAAAAGTGCAGTCTGTAACAGTCTAACCAAACTATACATCTTATTGAAACCTACAAGAAATAAAAACTGGGACAAACATTAATATAGTAAGGGAATTCCATCCAAAGCAGAAACGGAGCTCTAAGAAGCAAATGAGTCATTTTAGGGTCTTACATTTTAATCAGTGCTTATTAAGAATCTTTGAATGTGGCGCTGTGGGAGTGTATGCATCACTGCCAACCCTCAGCCATCCCACCCATGCATTTGTGTGAACTAGAAAAAAGTTCCTGGCCAAGCCTGGTGGCTCATGCCTGTAATCCCACCACTTTAGGAGGCTGAGGCGGGCGGATCATCTGAGGTCAGGAGTTTGAGATCAGCCTGACCAACATGGAGAAACTCCATCTCTACTAAAACTATAAAATTAGCTGGGTGTCGGGGTGCATGCTGCAACCCCAGCTACTCAGGAGGCTGAGGCAGGAGAATTGCTTCAATTCAGGAGGCGGAGGTCAGTGAGCCAAGATCACGCCACAAAACTCCAGCCTGGACAAGAGTGAAACTCCATCTCAAAAAAAAAGGAAAGAAAAAAAAAAAGTTCCCCTCTTCGGAGAGGTAGCCCTACATGGCTTGGTGAGCAGAGGGCACTACTGTATATGCAAGACAAAACTGTAAAGACTCTTCCTCCTCTAGGCTGATGCAGGCAGGGCCCAGGGCTTAAAAGTAAGAACACAGGCAGGGTATCAGCCCCTACTTGCCCCTGAGCCAGGCAAGCTGTGCCCTCAATTTCACAGCAGAGCAGCCAGTCAAAACAGCAACAGGTGATCTGTGACTGTCAGGCAACTCCAGGGCAAGAAGCAGCAAGGAATAATTAAGTTAACAATGGCTAATGATTCTCTCAAGCATCCCCAGCAAGACCAATGAGTTCAAAATCAGGACAGACAGAGCCCTGCCTTCCAGAAGCTCACTCTCTCACCCGGTCGACTGGATGGGGCCCTGTGATGAGATCTGCTCCCAAGCTAAGTGGCCCTCACAAAGTCCTTAACCCATCACTACTTCAATTCAACATCCAAGCTGGAGGTTTGATGAGATGATCTCTCACCCAAAAAGTTAAGATTATGCTAAAAGGTATAAACACAGCACGAATGCTCAAGGTCTACACAGGCCTAGGTTCAAGTTCAACTCCATCCATTGCCATTCATGACTAAAATGAGAGGGGCAGAGGGTAACCAGCATCTGGTCACCTGCTCCTTAGAGTATAATTAAGTATAAGATTTTTTTTTCATCTGTTTCCCCCTGACAGTCTGTACAATGGCGGTGGGGGGGCAGGTGGGGGGAGACAATCCAAACAAAAAAAAATAAATATGCTTGTGTGATGCTGATTACAAAGGATTCAAAATCAGACACCAAAGGGAAGCCTGTTGTTTAGGAATAAAAAATTGCCCTTTTAAACAGTTCATCCTGTCCTGTCTACATACACTCTGATTTCAAATAAACTGGTTTCCTTTAAAATTACAGTTTGCCATATTTATTTGCTCACTATCCCATGTTTTAATGTTCAGATGGCAATTCTGCAATAATGATACAGACTTTGGGTCAAAGAGAAAGACCATGGTGTCTACAGGACATCAAGATGCCAGGAAAAAAAGCAGAGAGACTTTGTATAGGGATGGTTTAAGTGTTTTCTTAAACACTCACACACCTAAAAATACAGATCCCCAACAATGCAGGCACTGTTGTGGCTCCTTTTTTGTTCTCTTTATGAAAACATGTTTGTGCTTACACCTCCCGGCACTTATTCAGTGTTAAACAAAAACAACTCCCGTAACTTGCTGACAAACAGGTAATACAAGTAGAAAGAATTCCCTAACTTTCAAACTCTTGGCTCAGGGGAAAAAAAGAAAGCTCAAGTAAAAGATGTCCCCAAAGTCATCTGGTAAACATGCCTTCCAAAGAGAATGTGAAATGCATAGCAAAACAGGCACTTAACTAATTTTAAACGCCTAATTATATACCGCCTAAACAGAATTATCAAGAGACTTGATTGACTTCCACAGAGCTGTGATTGCCATCAAGCAAACTCAGAGAAATAATAAATAATGTTTGACCTTCTAATGTCCTCAAAAATTATTCACAATATCAAAGGATGTGGACTGCCAGCGTTCCATTCCTGTATTGTCAGGGAACACAGAGGTCACAGATTAATTTGAAGTTAGTGATGCGGACTCATTTATGTTTTGAAGAAACACTTGACTTGGATAAACAAAATTAATAAGGAGGTTGGACTACTTGCATAAGAAAAAGAGAGGAGTATGGGAAGAAGGCACACAAAACATGTGACATTTAAGATCACTTACCCCAAACAAGTAAGAGTGGATAATTTCACCCAGAACTTAAAAGCCACGGCTTTGGCCTGAAGGTGAGGGTTAGGTAGGAAAGAAGGAAAACAAAGGGGTATTCTTTACTAGCTGATTTCCAAGACAGTCTTGAAGTATTAAGTATATTCAAGGAACAGCGATTATGAAATGTTTAACTGAGTAATGCTAAACTAAGAAACACCTCTGGTTTTGAAAGAGATTGCCATATAAGGCAAAACCTTGCACCAACTAACTGGTGTACTCTATCTATAAGGCTCGCCTTAGCATTCAATACAGGAGGCTTTTCTGTGATGAATAAAAAGAAAACCAAGTCAAACCTCCCGACATCCAACTCTAACTCAGCTAGGTTGCAAAAGCACACTCCTGCCCGTTGATCTAATGATTTAGTTTTTCTGCTGTGACTTCACAAAAAATGTTCAGTTTGAGGATCAGAGGAAGGGTTTCATCTTACATTCACCGGAGCCTGTTGGTATGTGTCAACACTTCGCATGCATATTAGCCACAACAATATTCTCTTCACGTTGACAGTTCAATTTAAGTCAAAATTTGAAAGAAAGTACTAGTGTAGTGTGTTATCTCACCCAAGTCTCGTTGCCCTCTTCGAAAAATTGCGTCAAACTTCCTATGACATAGTAAGAAATAAATATTTGGTCTCTGCCCTCATTTCTTGGCACAGTCCTTAAAAACCTTGGAAACTCCAAAGTGGTAAGTGTCTTTCTGTATGCCATGGCTGGGCACTCCAGCAAGGCCTCAGGATGGAGGAGCTGGTTGCCAGGGAAACCAGTCACATGATTGCAGAGTAGGAACTTTGAGCTCTAGCCTCTGACCTCCAACTTCTGACTTCAAGGGAGGGGAGAGGGGCTGAAGGCTGAGTTGATCACCAATGGCCAAAGATATCATCAACCATGCCTACATAATTAAGCGTCCATAGAAACTCAAAAGGACGAGATTTGGAGAGCTTCTGAATGCTGAACATGTGCAGGTTCCTGGGGTTGGCACCACCAGAGAGGGGATGGAATCTCCTTGCCCCTTCCTACATATCTTGTCCTGTGACTGTCTTCCGTCTGGCTGTTCATCAGTATCCTTGATGTAATACTGCAATACTGTTTATAATAAACCAGTAAACCTAAGTGTTTCCTAGAGTTGTATAAGCCATTCTAATTAATGATTGAATCCAAGGAGGGGGTCATGGGAACTTCCAATTTCTAACTGGTGGGTCAGAAGCACAGGTGACAACATGGCACCTGTGTCCAAAGTCGGGGCAGTCTTGTGGGCCTGAGGCCTTAACCTGAGGGATCTTATGCCATCTCCAGATAGATGGTGTTGGAAGTGAACTGAATTACAGGACACCCAGCTGGTGTTGAACAACTGCTTAGTGCTATGGTTTGAATGTGTCTTCCGAAGTTTACGTGTAGAAACTAAATCTCCAATGCAACAGTGTTGAGAGCTGGGACCATTTAAGAGGTGATGAGGTCACCAGGCCTCTACCCCATGAATGGATTAACGCTGTTACCTCGGGAGTGGGTTCATTATTGAGAGTGGGATTGTTACAGAAGCGAGCTCAGCCCTCTTTCGCTCTCATGCATACCCTCCCGCCATGCGATGACCTCTGCCATGTGATTATAAAAAAGGCCCTCATCAGGTGCAGCCCCTCAATTCTGACCTTCCCAGCCTCCAGAAGTGAAAGAAATTTATCTCCTTTATAAATGATCTGGTGTGTGGATTCTATTAGGGCAACACAAAGTGAATGAAGACAGTTAATGTGAAAGAAACCCCCGACACACTGTGGTGACCGTAAGTGTTCTGTGTGGAGAGTGCAGCATGAGGAAGTTTTTGTATTGTCCACGCCCTATCTGAAGGGGAACTGACATATCAGAGGTATTGTATCTCATAGGTCATTTCTCACAAAATCAGTAATTATGTTGCACATACTATGTTAAGCCCTTTCTAAGCACTATCTCATTTAACTATCATGACAACCAGGTAGGTGTGTTTTTTCTAGTTTTACAACTAGAAAACAAAGAGTAGGCAATTTAGCTAAGATGTGCCGTGCCCTAGCAAAATTAGGATTTGAACCCAGGGCCATGTGATTTCAGGCTGTATATAGAGGTCAATCAAAACCTGAAGAAAGCCTCCCCCTACCCCATCCAGGAAAGGGGAAAGAAGAAAGGCTGAGTTAATTTGTACTAACTTTCCCATTCTGCCCTCACATGGGCCCCCACCATGGAAATGAAAATAGATCATAATTTTGTAAATCAAGATTTTTCCTACAGCAACAACTAAACAGCACAGCTATTAATAAAACCTGTTTCTCACTTCCTTAAGTTTAAATCTGAGTTCAGGTGTGAATAAAATCTTTGTTCCTTATTTCCACTATCTCCACCTCTGAGGAGAGACACATAAATAAACATAATTTTTTCCGGGCCCAGGGCTGAGCACAATGCTCACGCAAAGTAGGAGATATCAGTTCAAATCCGGGCTTAGGATTCAATCCCTGGACCCTGATGAGATGGGAATCACAAAGGTATAAACTGCCAAGGTCACTCGGAAGGGGCTGCCATTTCCACCAGCACAGGCAGCTGCCCAGCAGCAGCTCACGGCAAGAAGCCACTGAGCTATCTGCCTGGCTCCAGGTACAGCTGTAAACTACTACTGTTCTACAGGAAGAAACTGGGACCCTCCGCAGGAAAAGACCTCAGAGCAATATACTGCCAGTCCACCCTGGTTTAAATAGGGGTGGTCTGCTTGAGGAACAAATTGGGCCAAAAAAAAAAAAAAAAAAAGAAGGAAAGAAGGAAGGAAGAAAAGAAACAAACAAATGACAAAGCCTTGTTAGGAGTGAGAGAAGAATACACATCAGCCAATGTTCTCATGACCATCTTTTTTTTCCTTTTGCTTCCCTAACTGCACAGTTACCTCCAGTGCAATGATTTAGGTGAGGAATCATTGATCATTTCTGACTAGGTAAAGGTAACAATCTTCAAGACAAAGGTGTTTGGGATGGGCCAACAAGTTGAAACCTACATGGAAAAGGCTTAACTGGGAGCACATGCATGTTCAGGTAGATAGATTCTTCAACCTCAGCGCCCTGCAGACCCAAGAGTTTGTATCTTTCTAACTTATTATATAGGTAAGTGGAGGACACATGAAATTTATAGCCCAACTATATGCGTTATGTACCCCACCATTTCAGAATGCTGAAAAGAATCTGTCATTTATGTGATTTCCATATGCTTGATTCAACCATAACTATTATGTATTTAAATGAAATCTCAAGTCCTACAGGCTTCCATTGACTTAATAGGCAGTCTTTTTTCTCTCTCTTGCAAAAGTTCCTCCATCACCTGGAACAGCAAAGAAAATAATTCTTTTATTTATTTTTTTTTTTGAGACACTTTACTTTGTTGCCAGGAGCCAGGCTGGAGGGCAGTGGTGCGATCTCAGCTTACTGCAACCTCTGCCTCCCAGGTTTGAGCAATTCTCCTGCCTCAGCCTCCTGAGTAGCTGGGACTATAGGTGTGCACCACCATGCCCAGCTAATTTTTGTGTTTTTTAGTAGAGATGGGATTTTACCATGTTGACCAGGATGGTCTCTATCTCTTGACCTCGTGATTCACCCACCTTGGCCTCCCAAAGTGCTGGGATTACAGGCGTGAGCCACCATGCTCAGCCAAAAAGAATTATTTTGTTTTGAAACAGGGTCTCACTCTGTTGCCCAGACTGGGGTGTAGTGGTGTGATCTCAGTTCATTGCAACCTCCACCTCCTGGACTCAAGCAATCCTCCCATCTCAGCCTCTGGAGTAGCTGGAACTACAAATGTTCACCAGCGACCACACCCAAATTTTTGTGTTTTTGTAGAGATGGGGTTTTGCCATATTGCCCAGGCTGGTCTCCAATTCCTGAGCTGAATCCATCCACCTACTTTGGCCTCCCCAGGTGCTGGGATTATGGGCATGAGCCACTGTGCCGGCCCAAAAAAACTATTAATGAAGTTACTCAAACACCCAAAAGTGCATGTTCCCACAAACCAAATACTCTCTCTGTCATCTTACCTTCAGTGTTGTACCCAAAACTGTTGGCAAGACAGGTCCTAATGGAATGCTTTTTTTTTTTAAAGTTAATTTGGTGTCAGTGTGAGTTTCCTTAAGGTAGGAAATTTTAAAAATAACTTAATAAAACTTGCAGTGTTGCCAAGCTCGCCTCCCAATCCATGCCCCACTGTGCAGAGAGGAGGTGAAGACAAGGTGGGGCCTCCTTTTTCTTTTTTAACTAAATTTGGCAGGAAAAGCAAAGGGAAGCTGCTTCTCCCAGTTCCCCACCTGCCCCGCCCTTCTATTCCACAGAGAACAGAAAGTGCCTTAAGCAACAACTAAGTTTACACTGGCCACTCCAACCACATATCTAGCAATAACTTCATGATTTGTTTTTAAGCATACATTTTCAGGGGGGAACAGGATCTACTGAGATATACACACTTCATCCTTGAAGGAAACAAACATGAGTCATAATCAAACAATCCAAATCAAAGCAGAGGACCCTGGTTGATACATCTTGCTCATGCAATCAGAAAGAAAGAGTTTATAATCTACCAGAAGGCAGGGTTACCATACAAGTTGTAACAAATACTGCTGCAGCAGCCAGTAAGAACTCAGCTGCTACAAAAATATTTTTGACTTTCTTAATATGAAATAAAAATACCACATAACTCCAACATTTCTCAACTGTTAATTAGGCAAGATGCAATCTCATAGTATGTACAGTTGACCCTTGAACAACATGGGTTGGGACTGCACAGGGCCATTTATATGAGTACTTTCTTCCACCCTTGCCACCCCTGTGCAGGCAAGACCAGCTCCTCCCTTTCCTCCACCTTCTCAGCCTACTCAGTGTAAAGAATGATGATTCACTTCCACTTAATGAAGAGTAAATATAAGTTCTCTTCCTTATGATATTCTTAATAACATTTTGTTTCCTCTAGCTTACTTTATTGTCAGAACACAGCAATAGAAGATACACAGAACATACAAAATATGCATTAATTGGCTGTTCATGTTACCAGGAAGGTTTCTGTTCTACACCAAGATCTCAGAGTTATGTTTTGGGGGAATCCTAAGTTACAACCAGATTTTTGACTGATTGGAAAGCTGGAGCCCCCAACCCCATGGTTGTTCTGTGAAAAATTTCAAATCCTTCCCCTCACTCTTTAATTCTGCAGAATTATTTTTCAGGCGTTTTAAAGGTGGCAATAGAAAAGACTGGGATGACACTCAAAACATCCTCCAGACAAGTTTTAGTCTCCATCTTATCCTTTTGTTGAATGAATAATGAGTCTTCAGCCACTATGATGCAACCCTCCAGAGAGATTCAAGAAAGATAAGAAAAAATGACAGAACTCAACATTTCTTTGGAACCCACCTTCCTCAAAAATGGGTTTAAGGTGAGTGCAACCCAAAATGAATACAGAAAAAGCCCTACACCTTGGTGTCACAGGAAGCCCAATTGTTCAAAAAAGAGGAGCATAGGCTGGGCGTGGTGGCTCACGCCTGTAATCCCAGCACTTTGGGAGGCCAAGGCCGGGATCATGAGGTCAAGAGACTGACCATCCTGGCCAACATGGTGAAACCCGTCTCCATTAAAAATACAAAATTAACCAGGCATGATGCCACATGCCTGTAATCCCAGCTATGTAGGAGGCTGAGGCAGGAGAATCATTTGAACTTGGAGGGCAGAGGTGGCAGTGAGCAGAGATCATGCCATTTCACTCTAGCCTGGGCAAAAAGAGCAAAACTCTGTCTTAAAAATATAAAAACCCTTAAAGGCTCTTCCTATACAGCAGTTTCACATTCAGTGATAATGAATTTTCACCCTGAAATCCATGTGTAAGTGGACACCCACAATTCAAGAGTCAACTCCACTTCTCACTAAATTAAAAAGCTTCGCTCCAAATGTAGTTGAAACAGCCCAGTATCTTCCTCTTACAAGCAGTAATTCTTACAAAGTTACTAGTATGGATAAGATTCATCTGGCTTGCTTACTTGAAAATGCAGATCTCTGGCTCAACCTCTAGAGGATGGGACAGAGCCAGAGTGGGGTTAGATGGGGTTGAGAAATCTGCATTTCGACAGTGGTCCACGGGTGACTCTATGCAGACCCTGGAAAACTATATTTAAGGGCTCACCACAGCCAGGGACCATATTCCAACTGTTACTTTTCTAGGTCTCATTCTCATTGTTTGTTCCAAGTCTGTCTCTTATTTTTGCAAATTTAATTTAAAAGCATGAGCATTTCCTGAACATAGCCGGTCACTCTGAGCCAGAGCTGACCTACCAGGGACACATACGTGGCGCAGGGTAGGTCAACCAGAACCTCTACATTCTTCACAGTGAACTTGAAATTGGGAGTGTAATCTAGTGAAATCACAATGTACTCAAGCTTAAGGAACACAAAGACACCTATGAATGCTTGGAGGAGGGAAGGGAAGAGCATTTAGTAATAGTACAAATGATGAGCACATGCCTGGGAGCAAAAGGAGTTGAAAATCCCATGTTCCCTTAGTGGGTCTCTGCTCCCACATGCCCCACAGACTGGGTGCATCTCACCCTGTTTACCGGTGACTTCCAGGGCTCTGAAAGAACATTTTAACCACAAGCAATTTTCATCTCATATGCTAACTTCAGAACCTAACTTTCAGGTAAGATATGATTTCACTGGAGGAGAACCTAACAAGTCCACTCAGAATTCAGGGCAAGCAGGTCATGACCTGAGAAGCAGAGGCGCAAGTCAGCTGAGAGCCAGTGGCAAAGCAGAGATGCACAGCCAGAAACAGGATGAAGCCAGGCATGGTGGCACATGCCTGTAATCCAAGCACTTTGGGAGGCTGAGGCAGGTGCATCACTTGAGGCCGGAGTTCAAGACCAGCCTGAGCAACATGGCACAAACCCATCTCTAACAAAAAACATGAAATATTAGCTTGAACATGGTAGCATGTACCTGTGGTCCCAGCTACTTGGGAGGCTGAGGTAGGATCTTTGAGCCGGGGAGGTCAAGGCTGCAGTGAGCTACGGTCGCACCACTGCACTCTAGACTGGGTGATAGAGGGAAACTCTGTCCCAAAAGAAAAGGAAGAAACAGGGATGAGAAATGAGAGGCCTCTGTTCAAGCTCCTGGTGGTTCCCATTCCTGGTTCTGCCCCGCTCTGAGATATGGTGGCATCCCAGAGTCCTAAAGATATCCCAGGATCCTTCTAATACCCACAGCGCCTCCCCGTCCCCTCCACCCTGTTTTGTCTGTTAGCTACCTGCAACAGCAAGGCTCCTATCAAGAACACTGTCTGAGTATTCAGACAGAATAAGACAGAATTCTGAAAACCTCAGAAACCAAGGGTGACTCCTGGGGGCAGTCCTGAGAGGCCATGTGCAGACTAACAGTTGCCTTGAGGTCTGCAGAGAGGGAGAGCACAATAAAGCACAGTCAAAATACAAGGAGACAGAAGAAGAGGGACACAGAGAGAAGGTGCCTCGTGTCCTGAAGGATTCCACTCTTCACTTTCACCATGGATTCTAAGATACAACTCTAAGCCATCCCAAAGAATTCCCCTCTGTTCCTTTCAACCAAAGAATCCCTACAAGTAATACTTTTTAAGTATTTTAGGCCAAAGAAGTTGTTTCTGGACTCTCAATAATTCATTTGTGACCTGGGAATTGCAGAACAATGCAGTTCACCTACCCTACACATCCCCTACCCAAATGCTCAGAGGGTCCAGTCACCCTGGTCAGTGACCAGCAGGGTCATCTTTGCCCACACTCTGAATTTTAGTACTTCACACAGTCCTAATTACTAGGAATGGAGACTGTACTTAAGTCGAAGGACTCTTAACCACATTATTAGTCATAAAGAGCTTGCATTTATTACTTAAACACTTCTAAACCAGGTCTTTTTCGTTTTCTTTTTTTTTTATTTGTTGCTGTCTTGGAAAAGCACAGATAATACACCTTCCAGAATAAAATCCTTGCATATGAAGGGCAGAAATGTATGGGTGCTTGAGAAATGAACTGGATCCTAGCAGAGGCATTACAAAGCACTCTGTGGAAAAGGTTCCATAGTATCCACAGTCCCATTGAACACATTCTCAATGTGCCATGATGCAAACCCAACATGATGAAGGTTTGGTGTTGGTTCTCCCACCCACACGGAGTGCGGCAGGAGAAGACACCCTCTATATTGTGTCCCATTTTCCCCAGTGGCAACACATGTGCTGAATAGTAGCAATGACAGCCACGAAGAGATGCATAAGTAAGGGAGATTACCTCCCCTGCTGACTCTGCCTCTTGCCCACTTGAGCCAAGGAGGGAGGGTCTGCCAAGTGTCCCAGGATGTCAGGTGGGGGTGGGAAAGGTGAACAGAGGACTGAGGCCGAGCAAGCAAGCGATCCCTAAATATAAGGTGCCACTGGGGTTTTAACTTCCTTGAAGGTCCTAACCAAGAGCCTGATACTAAATGAAACAAAGAAGCTCTAAAAACATCGTTACTGGCTGGGTGCGGTGGCTCAAGCCTGTAATCCCAGCACTTTGGGAGGCCGAGGAGGGTGGATCACAAGATCAAGAGATTGAGACCATCCTGGTCAACACGGTGAAACCTCGTCTCTACTAAAAATACAAAAATTCGCTGGGCATGGTGGCGTGTGCCTGTAATCCCAGCTACTCAGGAGGCTGAGGCAGGAGAATTGCCTGAACCCAGGAGGCGGAGGTTGCAGTGAGCCGAGATCGCGCCATTGCACTCCAGCCTGGGTAACAAGAGCGAAACTCCATCTCAAAAAAAAAAAAAATTGTTACTGCAGAGGGTTGAAATGATGCACAGCTAATCTGCCTCCCGAAAGACAGATGATCAAGGCAAAGCCCAGCAGCCAGCAAGGCGGACTCAGTTCCAGCTGGATTTAGGGTCAAAAGGTAGCTGAGGCATTGCCTTCCCAGAAGGAGTGAGTCATGAGGAAAGTCTGAGAGCGAAGCAAGGTGGAGGATTTGCTTTTTTCCCCAGCTCAATGTGGGTATTGGCTCAGCAGTATGGAAAAGTGTACTAGAAGGGAGTGAAGGAAGTGGGCATTCCAGAATGAATGGAAGATGCAGGACAATGAATGGCACCAGGCAGGTGCAGAGGCCAAGTCCGAGAACTAAGCAGCAACCTGCACAGCTAGGAGGGTCCGGGCTGCCTTGACTGACCCAGATGGGTCAGACAGGTAGATGCTGGTTTCTTGGCACAGGTTCTGGAACTCAGCAGAGTCAAGGCCCAGCCCTGGCAACCAACATCTGGGGGACTTGCCTCAGCCTCTGGAATTTTCAACTGCCTCATCTTTGAAATAGAGACAAGAATAATACCTCTTCTAATGAAGTTGCTAACATGTATTTAAAGCTTTTTGTAGCAACAGCACAGAGGTTGGCAAACTACTAGCCTGTAGGCCAAATCTTTCTGACCACCTGCTTTTTGTAGGCCGTAAACTGAGAGTGATTTTTACATTTTTACACGGTTGGACAAGACAATGAAAATACTATTTGGTGACACATGAACACAATGTGAAATTGAAATTTTGGCACTCATAAATAAAAGTTTTATTGGAACACAACCACACCTAGTCACTTACAGATTGTCTACAGCTGCTTTTGCACTACAATTACAAAACTGAGAGAGCTGAGAGACTGCATGGCCTGCAAAGCCTAATGGATTTATGACCTGGCCCTTTACAGAAATTTGCTGATCCCTGCATTAGCCAAGAGAAAGAACAATCAGCAGTGCCTCACTCTACAAGAAATGCGGACAGAGAGACTGTGAAATCTTTTTATTGAGATACAATTCACATACCATAAAATATACCCTTTTAAACAAGAGAACTGAATGGATTTCAGTATATTTAAGAGTTGTGAAACCATCACCACAATGTAAGTTAGAATATTCTTCCACCCCCAAAGGAGATCCTGTACCCATTAGCAGTCTCTCCCCATTCATCTCTCCGGCCCCCTGCAACTACAAATCTACTTTGTGTCTCGATGAATTTGCCAGTTCTGGAAACTTCTTATAAATGGAATTAAATATGTGGTCTTTGGTGTCTGCTTTCTTTCAGTTAGCATAATGTTTGCAAGGTTCAACCATGTTTCAGCATCAGTACTTCCTTCCTTGTCGTGGTTGAATAATACTTCATTGGAAGCACACATCACATTTTGTTGATTCACCAGTTGATCGACATTTGAGTTGTCTCCACTCTTTGGCTATTATAAATCATTCTCCTATGAATATTTATGTACAAGCTTTTGTATAGATAGATAATTTCATTCCTCTCAAGCTCATATGCAGGAGTAGAAATGCTGGGTCCCAGTTTATTTTTCCTTTGTTGCTTGTGGTTTGGTTTCACATCTAAGAAACCACTGCCTAATCCATGGTCATGAGGATTTATTCCTATAATTTCTTCTAAGAGTTCTATAAATTTAGTTCTTAAGATGTTCGGGTCTTCGTTGTAAAGCAGGAGGTCCAACTTCATTCTTTTGGACATGAATATACTGTTTTTCTCAGCATCATCTATTAAAAAGACTATTCATTTTGCATTGAATTGGCCTGGCACCTTTGTTGACAATCAGCTGACCATAAATGTAAGGGTTTATTTCTTGACTCTCAATTCTATCCCATTGATTTATATCTGTATACTTATTCTAGTACCATACTTTCTTAATTATTGTAGCTGTGTTTTAGGTTTTTAAATTGGGAAGTATGGGTCCTCCAATTCTGTTTTTTCTAGTTTTTTGGCTATTCTGGCTTCCTTGCATTTCCATATGACTTTTAGGATCAATCTGTCAGTTTCTGAAAAAGAAAAAAAAAAGACACCTGGGGTTTTGGCAGGGACTGCAATTAAATCTGTAGATCAATGTGGAGAGGGCCAGCCTGATAAGAATAACAAGTCTTCCAGTCTATGAACATAAGATATCTTTCCACTTACTTAGGTATTTAACTTCTTTAAAAAATATTTTGTAGTTTTCAGTGTATGAGTTTTATACTTCTTTTATTGTATGTATTCCTAAGTATTTTTGATACTGCTATAAATAGAATTTCTTGAAATCTTTTTTATTATGAATTTTAACTTGGAATCATAGAAAGTCAATTGGTAGATGTACAAGAAACAAGGACTGAAGCCTAACAGAAATCGAAGGTAAAACTAAAGCTGGATTTCAGAGAGATACGCTATGCCAAGACTCATGTCAGGCTTTAAGCTTCATGCAGGCAGAAATAGTGCCTGTCTTGCTCATCCTGCACACCTAGCACATAGTAGGCACTCTAAATAAACACCTATTGAATGGACAAAGTTTAACAATAGCAGAAAAGACTTAAATCTGTATTTCCATTCTAGGCAATAAATATGCCCTTAAATATTCATTTCTTCAAGCCCTAGGTTGGTCTTGCTGTGGACTGAAGATACTACTGACAATAATGAGGCAAAATATTCTCAAGCACGACACAAATTTGGTAAGGACCCCTGCCAGGTGACAAACACCCCTTTAGTTTTTCCCAGATAGAAAGTTCAAGAAAATGTCACTAGACAAGGAAGAGAATAAGGGTGAGCAGGAGAGGAAGCACCTGAGCTTTTGCAAACAGCACTGGTCTTCTAGACAATGATCTAAACAACGTCTAATGATACCCAAAGGTAAAACAAGAAATGCTGCAGAAGGTGCTAGCAAAGAAAGGGAGGGAGGGACAAGAAGGGTGAGAAGCACACACCAGTCTACAGGAGAAAAATGCTGAAATGCAAAGCTAAACATGGCATTTATCACTACTGTACTTTTCCTTCACTGTCAGGGTAACAGTCAATTAAAATAACAAACTTTCATTAAGGACAAGAATACTGCATACGCTGCACCAGCACCATGCTAAGTGTCTCATGTACATAATCTCGTTAACTTCTTGTGACAACCCTAAGGCAAGTACTATTAACATCACCATTCTAGAGCAGGGAGAACAGAGACCTGGAGATGTCGGGGTACATATTTATAGAGTACACATTTGGATTCGGGAGACCAGGGTCTAAATGCCAACTATGGCAATTTGGAGAAGTGAAGCCTTAGGTGAGTTTGGAGAAGTGAGGCCTTAGCTCAGTATGTATGAATACAGACATAAGAGCATACATACTGTGTATACTTGCACATGCTAGCAAATATGCAAGGCCCTAATATGGTGGTGAACGTGTTTAGTTGCTAATGTGAATCCAAACACCAATCATAGATTAGAAGGAAACAAGGTTTTTAGGACTAGAAATTAAGAGGGTATGGGATCATCAATAAAAAGGTTGCAAATATCTTGCCGTTAATACCCCACAAACCATGAAGCCTGAGATTCCATTGTTTCCTGCAGCCACTGAGGAAATGCTGGCTTTGAGTCCTGAATCTGTCCCAACGGTGGTATGTAACTTTAGACAAGTCTCTTCTTTTAGCAAATTGCACTGCCCTAATTTATAAGGCCATTGCCAAGTCTAGGATTCAACCAATTCATGCTTTTTCCCAGCCTTCAATTATTACGTAATCAACTTTCACTGCACCCCTATTTACACCTTTACCAATCTCATTGGTCAATTACAGTTCTCAGTCTCTGTTAAAGGGGAAGAAGAATATTCGGGCATATGTAGACATATCCTAGAAAAGCATATTTTTACGAAAATAAAAAAGAAGGGTATAGGAGTTGGGTGGAGAGATTTACTCCGATAAAACACATCTCGAGCCCTTTCTTCCCTGGCTGGTCCATATTTCTAAATCAGTTCCATGCTTTCACATAGTAAATTTTCTGCTAGATGTCTAGATATGCTGGGGATCAGGTTACAGTATGAAGGACAAAAGATAAAAACAATCTGCATACTTCCATCTGGCTCTTCAGAACAAAGTCTAGAGACTTGAAATGTGAGGAGAGAAGCATGCTACTCTAGCTGTACAACAGATACAGCAAAATGTCACAGAAACAAATCTTTCAAGAGAATCCGAGATGCTGGAATGCGTATTTCACCAGAATTTACTCAGAGCATTAAAAAAATGTTAAGGCTCAGATACTGAACACAATGTTGCCTCTGTTACAAGATGAAAAGTTGCAAACAGACCGATGCATTAGAAAGTCCACACTGTACTGCGGGGATGCTATTCTTACAGCTGTCAAGACTCCCGGTTTCAAAACAAACAAACCAAAAAACACCTTCTAGATATTTATTCACACGGTCTTGCCTAGTTTTTAGGACTCAAGAGTCAACACTCGAGGTCTGACTCTGGTCAAACTGCTCCTGTGCCACATGGCATCACGCCACGCGAGACAGATTTTCAATATGAAAGACACCAGCAGTTTCCAATACAAACATGGGCTTTCCAATACATAAAAATTAAGAAAAGCCAGGGTTTGTACAGAAAACATTCAACTGCCTTATATATCAAAATCATGAGGTATAAGCAGAAATGTGGCATTAAAATAATTTACAAAATGGCTCAACAATGAACATTTTCCTCCGTGAACAAACACCACCCTTAATGTTTTTCATATGGCACATAAATTTTACAATACCTGCAGGAATATTTTCATTGGTTAAATCAACACCATAGGTCTTTTTAGCTCTTAAGCATATTACAATTCTTGCCTTTTTATGGCATTTTTGTTGTTGTTTGCACCCAACGTAATAAGCTTTTGAGAACAAGAAACGAACCACAATAAAAAGAAAAAAGAAGTACCCCTCTGTAACTGCAACTTTCACAAGAGGGGTGGGGGAGCAGAGTGATTGAAATCTTGTTTTTATAGCTGCTATCTTGATGCAATTAGTGTAAAATAATTGTCTGCACAGGCCAAAGCAGAGGCTAAGTCGAGGCACTTGAATGCATTCCCAAAAATGATTTCCCTGCCTCTTCCTTCAGCCTGCTGCAGCAGATGTTGGCTGTTAAGCCACACAGACGACACAGTTCATGACTTTTCTAAGACGGCTGTGTGCCACATCTGCAGTTGATGAAATGGAGAGCAGAAGTGTGGCAGACACACAGAGGAGAGTGTGAGCGAGGCAGGCAGGCGCGGGCTGGGCCAAAGGAACTGTCTTGAACGCTGGCCTAAAAATAGACACATACTCACACTCCTCCCTCCGCAGCCAGCTCATAAAACCCGGCCTGCCTGTCCTATTATGGAGTCAGCCTATGGCAGACACTTCCTGCATCCAGCTTGGGCTGCAGATAACACAAGAGCATGGAGGCAGGAGTGGAGGGGAGCAGGCGGTGCAGCATCCTCAAACTGCAGCTTCGCTCTCCGAGTCTCGGTATAACTGGGCTGTGGTCCAAGTTCAGCTGGGCCCCCAGAGAAAGGCAATGCTTGTGTTTAGCCCGCACAATACTGACATAACATTAACAGATTTACATATGCAAAACTGTGAAGCAACAGGCATTCCCCCTCAATTGACCCACAGCTTGTAGTGTCTGCCGAGTTATTCCCCGCTTCGGCTCTGTAACCAAGTGGGCGGCATGCGAATACCATCTGGGTACCACTTATTGAAAACTGGCAGTCGCTCTGTAATAGGCAAGCTGGCAATAAGAGGGAAGGGAATAAATTGCATCATTTAGTTAACATCCACTTGCTTTGCGGCTGTTAAAAACCCATGACTGAATAATAATTTGGTTATTTCTTTTGCCAGAAACTGCTGTCAGCCAAATTATACTACGCATGCTGCAGAAGTCGACTTGCAAAATTTCCACTTGCAAAGGGACTGAGGAGGATTGGGGCAAAATGGGCACCAATCCCTCTGGTGGCTAACAGTGGCGACTCCTGCTGCACGGTGGCTCTGTGTCCTCCAAGTGTCGTCATCCCAAATGTGGTTGACACCAAGTCCTGGTTAGCCACCCGGCCATGCTGAACACAGCACCAAGCTGTGATGCGTGGTAACGCCCTTAAGCAGCTCAGATCCAAGGGTGTGTGTGACAAGTGACATCTATGAGGCTCTCAGCTAGCCGTGGAAGCAGATGTGGCCAAACAAAGCTTGAGCTGACATTACCCAGTTGCTGCCACAAAACAAAGTGGGTAAGCAGACCCACAGAACGCCTGAGAGTTGCATGCCTATATCTCCCTAATTCTGCGCCTGGAGCAGGCAGACTGAATCATTTCTTTCTGGTTTACTCACCTGCTTTCAAATATAACTAACAAAGAAAGTGACAGAAACCTTAGACCACCACATAAAGGTAGAAGCGATCTTCAGTAAAACCCATGCGTTTGAAGTGGTTCTCTTTTGAATATATTTGTAAAGATATGAAATTCTCTTATTTACTATAGACTGTACATCTGTGTGTATACACATATATACACATAAATGTATGTTTTTATATTACTTTCCTATTCTATGTTTTTTAGGAATATCAGAGCTGAAATAAAAACAAGTGACCAATGCCGTAGCAGTTTTAAAAATATGTAAGTAATTAAAAGATATCAATAAAAATATGTAAGTCTTTTTATATAGGTTAGAAATATTTTATCATATAAATCCAGTTATAAAATATCTTCTTTTTCCTTCTTTTAATAATTTATATCATCTTTAAACTGCTAAAACATTGGTCAATTACACATATTTCCTATTTTGACTTTCCTTAAAGATGTATCAAAGTAAAGTAATAAAAAAAAAAAAGGAAAATCTGGAGCAGAAAAAAGAAAAAGCAGGAAAGACGAGACAGACTCTGCTGATTGCAGAAGTACTACAAGTAAAGTTTGATCAAATTAGAAGAAAAAAGGAAGATGAGAATATTTGCAGTGACATCGATGGCAAAAAATATTCATTTACAAAATCCAAACCTGAAACATTTGGGAAGGAATGGCTAAACAATCTTTCAAAGCCAAAGACATTTAAAGACTACTCTATTTTATACGTGGGGTTGTCTTCCTGAAAAATTACACAGTTGGCTGGTCATCTATTAAAATAAGCAGAATACGATCATGAAGAGGAAAGAAAGACAAAGGAGACAAGACCAAATCGTCATGTATTTTACAAATCACAACAGTTGTAAGTTACCATATGATTAAGTGAAACTTGGTTAACATTTTTTTTCTAGGCAATGAGGTTAGTCAAGAAAGATAATAGGTTTTTTTTTCCTAGATTCAGCTTATGACTGTAATCTTACCTTGCTCTAAACAGCTTACATGGCAAAGAAAAGACAAAGTCAATTCTGTATCTAGAGACATAAAAAAAATTGTTAAGACTGTAAAGCAATGGGCTGAATTTGCTTCCTGAAAGGATGAGAAAGAAAATGGTATTTCCAAGTCATCACGATTGTATTCAATTTGCTAAAAGGAAGCAAAATAGCAATTTTACCTAGGACCATGATAGTAAAAGAAAATTTAATTAAAAATAAGCATTTTATTTACACATGTACATGTGCACATATGCACCCCAAAATAATCAGCATGCTGTCATGAAAATACCATCACGACAGGAGGATTGGTCTTCCCCAAAGCATGGCTACTTTCTTCTTTTTTTTATTTTTTTGAGATGGAGTTTTGCTCGTTACCCAGGCTGGAGTGCAATGGCGCGATCTCGGCTCACTGCAACCTCCGCCTCCTGGGTTCAAGCAATTCGCCTGCCTCAGCCTCCCGAGTAGCTGGGATTACAGGTGCGCACCACCATGCCCAGCTAATTTTTATATTTTTAGTAGAGATGGGGTTTCACCATGTTGACCAGGATGGTCTCGATCTCTTGACCTCGTGATCCACCCACCTCGGCCTCCCAGAGTGTTGGGATTATAGGCGTGAGCCGCCGCGCCCCGCCAGCATGGCTACTTTCTAGTTGAGTAAGTGACATTGGGTAAGTCACAATTTCTCTGGGCCTAATTTTCTTTTCTTTGGGAAATAGTGATATGTAACAAAGCAGTGTCAGAATTTCCGAAATCTAAGAGAAATAATGGTTTTTCTAAATCCATCCTATGAAAATAAATTAATCAGAGTTGCAAAAGATTTCCAAATTACTCTCATCTTACTTTGCAAATTACACTTAGGGTAAATATTGATGGGGTTTTGTTTGTTTTTAAAAATACACATGTTGAAGGACTGAACTGCCTTTACAAATATTTATCTTCTAGAACATTATATGCTCCTAATGTTTGTTTAAAATCCTAAGTTTTCAGTAACTGCAAGATTTCTATTTAACATGCAATTCCTTAATAAATAGCTATAACATAAATAGAACCTATATATCTCATTTTGGCAATAGGTAGGAACAAAGAACCTACCTAAATATGATGTAAGCCACCTTAAGATCTTGGAAAATATTACTTTCCTAGGAAATGTATTTTTAAGCTATTTCCATGTCCCTTTTGCTGCTGCATATTTAAAAGTAATCACACTCTCCTGTTGGTTTCCACTGTTTTATTCTTCCTAAGTTCTTCTACCAGTGAACCATGGGCACAGGTTTCCAGGAATCACTTTAAATGTTGCATATATCCTGGCAAAAGTCCAAAATTCTAGCCCACATCAGCATTTTCCAGTTAACCTTAATCAACTCTATTGCCTTTCAAAAGTGGAGACATCGTACTTGACCCTTGTTCAGTGGAATATGTGTGTGCGGCTTTTCCCCAGGAGCGGTCATGGATTTGTACTAATCCACACAACACCTTCCCCCACCTCCCCGCTCTCCAACATCCAACTGCAGACATTCACAAGCCAGCTGGCGAGGGTTAGTGGTCGGTGGCCAGGAAAGAGAGTGAAGGTAACTGGTCCACAAGAGGCAGGAATTCCCACTCTGGCCTCATTAGCAGCAGGGCTAAGCAGCCCAGGCTAAAGTTAACATTCACCAAACACACCTGGCTAATCTTGTAAAGAATAAGGATTTGCTCATTAACTGAGCTTAGAGAAAGGTGTGACCTACAAAACTGAAACGTTATTTTCAGGTCCTTTAATGGTCCAAATTTTGTGATCAAGTTACAAATTCCATGTGGTTCGTCATGAGGTCCCTTTAAGAAACTTTTTGATGATGGACAGCTAAGCCTCTAGCCATATCAATCATATACGCACAGAGACACACAAACACATACCCACCAATTCTGTGACGCAGGGTTGAATAAAGCTTAATGCAAGTTAACCTTCTAGCCTGGGTGCAAGGTACCCAATCACCATATGCTGTTCATCAGGTACCACAATGCAGCAAAGCACACCTCCAGTGCCTCACTGAATGGCACTAGTGCCAGGGCCACTCCTTGCCCATTTCTAAGAGGCTCCCAGAGAGTGAAGTCAGGGAGCTGCATAGCCTCTGCAGCCCACTCTAAACGGATGATGATTCGCTGATGGTCATTTCTCCTACAAGGACTACCCAGAGCCACTAATGGAGGCAAGTGCCGGCTTGTTGCTTGAGCTTTCATCTGAAAACAAAATTGAAGGGTCAATTTTCATCAAGAGCTTGAGAAAAGAAGGAAATTGCAAAGAAAGGAAGGGGAGAGAGAGAGACACACACACACACAGAGGAAGAGAGGAAGGAAGGCAATTGCTTGCTACGAAGACAAAACAAATTGTGAAATCTAGAAATAAATACTCAGGGCTGAAATCCAACACAACTGTCACTGCTGTCAGTTTTAGGAAATAAAACTCTTGTTAAATGCAAAAAGGTTCAAGGGAGAATTCAATCTATCTGAGTTTTACCTAAACTAAAAATTATAGGTTTCTGAAACACTTAGGATTAGGCAACGTTCTTCTTAGGCAGTTGAGGTGGCTGCCCTTTCCTCGCCTTCATTTTCACACTATGAGGGGTCTGTCTACTTACCCAAATGTAACCAGTGCAGCCCCAACCACCAGATCAAGGAACAAACAGCGCACGGCTAACAGCAGGTTTGTGGAAACCCAGCAAAAACGCTCTCTCTTTGAGGAAAGGAGGGCTTGGCAGGTAGACAACTGTATTAGGCCTTATCCAAAAAGAAAGTAGGGGTGGGACCTCCTGGGTGAGGCCCAGATGGTCTACACGGGCTGCTATGCTCCTGTGTGCCCCGTTTGACCTTATTTATTTATTTAGAGACAGAGTCTCACTCTGTCACCCAGGCTGGAGTACAGTGGCACTATCTGGGCTCACTGCAACATGCACCTCCCGGGTTCAAGCGATTCTCCTGCCTCAGCCTCCCAAGTAACTGGGACTATAGGTGGACGCCGCCACACCTGGCGAACTTTTTGTATTTTTAGTAGAGACGGCGTTTCACTGTGTTAGCCAGGATGCTCTCAATCTCCTGACCTCGTGATCCACCCACCTCGGCCTCCCAAAGTGCTGGGACTACAAGTATGAGCCACCACACCCGGCCCTGACCTCTTTTTAAATGGCTCTGAATACCACTGGGGAACCCATGTCAACCCAGCAAGGGCCACTCAGAGCCACACTTAAGGGTCAATGCATGTATTTTCTTCCTCTGTGATATCAGAATGCAAGCTGCTGTCCTTAGGGCCCAAGGCAGAGAAGAATGTGAACACACAAAGTTCTTGTAGAGAAATTAGTCCTGACACAATTACCTAATGGCCTCTTCAACCAAACACCTGGTTGGCTACTTATCAGTAGCAACCCTGTAAGCAGCGCATTCCAGCAAGGTCCACAGAGAGAGAGATAGCGAGACAGAGGGCAGCTGTGACTATTCAATCCTTTGGTGGTCATGATTGCCTCCCATATTTACGAGGCCTTTTGGCCACAATGGTCTGAGCTCTTGTTGTGTACATCTTTATTAGTTGGAAGAAAAGATCTAAGGTTTCTTTCCCAAAAGAGAAAAGGCCTCTTAAACCAAACTAACTTAGCCCCAGGCCAGTACAAACAATCAATTTCATAAGAGGCCAAAGGGCAGCTTTGGAAAAGTGAACAGAGAGGATGAAGCAATCTGCAGTTCCTCTCTGGCTGGGGCCTCTCAATGGGGCCTCATTCTTTGTTTCAAAGACAGACAGGAATTCCAGCATGGACAATACCCCTATGTTTAGACACACCTCTGAAAATGTGGGTGACTTGCGAATTATTGTAAACCACTGATCATCACCATTAACGTGAACGTTTTAAAAAGTTGGCCCTATGAATGGAGGCTGAATGCAAGATCCAGCTCTTGTTCAAAACTAAATACATACATACACAATACATACACACACAAAGAGCGTAAGTTTTCATGTTATTTTTCTCTCAAACAGCCTCTTAACAGGCTAGTAGAATTCAATGTATGTATTTCCTGCCCCCCTTCCTCAATTATCTGTTTTTGTGTTTGTTTTGAGACAAGGTCTTGCACTGTCGCCCAGGCTGGAGTGCAGTGGCACTCTCATAGCTCAATGCAACCTCAACCATCAGGGCTCAAGGGATCCTCCTGCCTCAGCCTCTCAAGGACTTGGGATTTTAATAGAGATGGCGTTTCACCACGTTGCCCAAGCTGGTCTTGAACTCCTGGCCTCAGGCAGTCCAC